TCTACTACCGTAACTGTAAACCCCTTATCAGTGCCCTACTTATTACAGGCTAGCTGTACTAGCCGGCTTCGCCCGGGACTTGGATTCACCACTCCCGCCGCCTTTGTCTCCCCAGTGGCGATGTTCACACACCTCACCAGTTACTCGTTTTATGCTGAGTCGACCTTGGGGAGGCCCAGGACCGGTAAAAATAATCGTCACCGGTGGTGGTCGTGAGCGGGAATCGAACTCGGGTCGCCGGGTTCGTAGCGCAGCGCGCTAACCGCTACACTACAATGCGTTACGCTTCCACGTGCGCGGATCACGTGACAGATTTGACGTCACAGCTCACTTGCCGTGCAAAAAATAAATGCATTATTGAGCCCCCCCCCCCCCCCCAAAAAAACCCACAAAAGTGTATTTTTTATAATTTCTGCATGGTGTACAGTCTGGAAAGTACCCACATGGCAAATTTCAAGTTTGTTGCATGTCGGGAAGTACGCTAAACATTTTGAACAGACACACATATTCACAACTTTGCCTTTAATATATATGATCACCATTTGCCTGATCTTAAATACTAATAATGCACCTGGCTACCCGTAGCTATGCAAATTTGTCTTTTAGGAATCCCAAATGCTACAGAGTGCATCATAATACAGGTGAGGGATCCAGCCCAGGCCGATCTCTACCCTCACCAAGACTGTGGGCCAGCTGAAGCTTCTGTGCTGGCCTCACGGCTGAAGTTCAGTGAAGCAGATGATGTGCTGTGCAGACTTGGCCTCTGTGTGTGTGTGTTTGTGTGTCACGACTGCGTAGAGCCACAGGCGTGAGTGACGTTCTCACTTTACACCTGCATATGGCTGTTGTTATATTTATCTGGGGTAGTGGGGGAGGGGGCGTTGCACCATTTGATGTGCTGCTCACATTTAACTTTTTGTGGTTGTCGTTGTTTGAATTTACAGTGGCGTGCCATGCTCTGTCGACAAAATATTTAAAAAAGTGTGACGACTTTTTTTCGTTTCTTAATTGATATGCTTCCAGGAATTAGGTTAGCCTCGAATGTCCACATGGTTCTTCATGCGGACCGCTTGCATGCACTAAATGAAATTTAATACGAAATCTGACACTCGCAGAGTCAATTTAAAGATGAAGTAGCAACAACGGAATGCACTGAATCGCGGCTGTGATAAAATCGTACATTAGCATAACATTGGTTTCTAAGTGTAGTACATACGTATAAAAAGGACGTTTTGACGTAGCGATTTAACACAGCACTCTTATCTACTATATCAACAAACTACTATAAAATGTTACGGGCCGTCCATAAATGACGTCACGCACCTAGTGAGGGGGGGAGGGGTCAGACATTTGTGACGATGCGTGACGAGGGAGGAGGGGGTTGAGAAATGTGACGTCACATCAAAATGCGCAACTTTAAATAAATATAGACAACACGTTCTACTTAATTAGACTTTTTAATAAATGTTTTCTCCTACATCAGAGTGCAGCGCCACATTAAATACGCACTACAATGACAATAGTTTAAAGCGATTTGAAGCATGGTTTTTTTTTGGGGGGGGGGCAGAGCTTTGTGACGTCATATTTGAGGGGGGGGGTCTGACTTTTTGTAACGCCGTGTGACGAGGTAGGGGGGGGGGTCAAAAATCGTCAAAAATCGCGTGATGTCATTTATGGACGGCCCTTTACGTACAAATATCAATACCGTTGTTTTGTATACTCTGTGAACCGTGGAATCTACATCAATACCTTAATCGGTATGTAGATACCGTATGCATGTCTCAAAACCCTCGAAAGTTCTTCCCGGCAATGTGAAAAGCTGACATTTGGTACATATGTAGCTTTTAGAACACAAACAACAAGAACAATTAGAAAATACGAGATTTTTCATTTAAGGCCCCCAAATCTCGATATTAAGTGTCCCATAAACATGTTTGTGCGTGTCATTAAGAAACCGCTCAAAATATAATTGTGTTTTTTACTTTGATAGAGCGTTAAAAAGAAAATACAATTAAAGTGAGAACCATTGTTTATTTTTTTAGATATTTCGGATGAAATCGGTTTTGAACGAAAAAAATAAGCATTTTATGTTCAAATCTAAATAATTTGAAAACGGTAAAAGATAGAAGTTTCCAATCATAACGTATCAAGTTCATAATTTTTTCTTTCTTATAAAAATAATGCAATCTTTAAATTGTGCGGTTTCTGATGGGTACGTGTTTTAAGTATAAGAAGTTGAATCAAGTCGTTAAAATACTTTGTTTAAAACAAAAATACAAATTTTGATTTAAAGCTTTCGTGACTGCAGTAATTCATATTCTTAGCTCTTTCGGTAAAGTCACATTGAAGGGAAACAATAAAATAATAAAATATATATAAAACAATAAAAATTCTCACGACGTTTCGACCATAACACAAACGGTCGTCATCAGGTGTGTCGGTTTGCATAAATTTATTTATTTTTAAACGGTGTATTTATTTATAAAAAAGTCAGCGCCACGCGCAGCGATTTGGCAGTTTATTTAGAAGGACGAGTCCATCTATGTTCTGAAAAGAGGAGGGGGAGACGAAAAATTCATGTATGCTGTCTGAAAGCCACTGTAAGCGTGAACAATCAAATAAGACCTGAAATGGTTTATCAAATCTTTCCAATGATTGCTAAGCCAGAATCCATCTTCTCGGTTGAAATTGTCTCTTTGCTTGTATATTGAGGATAGCCTCATGAACGAATCTCTCATGGTAGCCAGATGGCTTACAAAGAACCTCTGTCTTGGAAAAGTCAATGTCATGTGAGCCTACTGAATTATAACAATGATCTGCCACGGCAGAGGTGTTGGTCCTACCGTGTTTAAGGTCTGCTTTGTGTTCACGAATGCGGTCCGAGACATAGCGTTTGTTTTCTCCAATGTAACTACTACCAAAGAGGCAACTTAGTTTGTAGACACCAGGGTACTGTATGTCCGGAATCACATCTTTTACAGACGGAACCAGATCACGTATTTTATGTAATGTGTTGAAACGGACCTGGATCTTGTGTTTATTCAAGATTTTGAAGAATTCTCTCATCAAGACTCTGTATCATAGAGCCCAATGATATTCGACCAGGAACACATAGGCAGTGAACTCAAGCACGTACACCAAGCTCTTAAGGCTAATGGTTACTCCGACTATACAATCCGCAAAGCTATCACTCAAACCATGAAGAAGGGCCCTCTTGAGGAGTCTTTCAAAACCATCACTTTACCCTACATTGCGGGGATCACAAAAAAGATCTCCAAAGTATAGCGCCACGGTGGCGAGGAGATGTTAACTACCTCGCCTGGTATACAGGAGGTCGTGGGTTCGATCCTGACGCCTGCTGCTGTATATTTTGAGTTTGCGTGTTTCTCTCTCATCATCATCACGGTGGCGAGGAGATGTTAACTATCTCGCCTGGTATACAGGAGGTCGTGGGTTCGATCCTAACCCTGACGCCTGCTGGATATTTGGAGTTTGCGTCTCTCTCATCATCATCACGGTGGCTAGGAGATGTTAACTACCTCGCCTGCTCTACAGGAGGTCGTGGGTTCGATCCTGACCCTGACGCATGCTGGATAATTGGAGTTTGCGTCTCTCTCATCATCATCACGGTAGCTAGGAGATGTTAACTATCTCGCCTGGTCTACAGGAGGTCGTGGGTTCGATCCTGACCCTGACGCCCGATGTATATTTGGAATTTGCGTGCCTGTCTCTCTCTCATCATCATCATCATGGTGGCTAGGAGATGTTAAATACCTCGTGTGGTCTACAGGAGGTCGTGGGCTCGATCCTGACCCTGACGCCTGCTGTATATTTGGAATTTGCGGTGTCTCTCTCTCATCATCATCATCATCACGGTGGCCAGGAGATGTTAACTACCTCGCCTGGAATGCAGGAAGTCGTGGGTTCGATCCCAATCCTGACGCCTGCTGGATATTTGGAGTTTGCGTGTCTCTCTGCCCGTGGTCGCGTGGATTTTTCTCCGGGTCCTACGGTTTTTCCCTCCACATTCAGAATCGACATCGCGCGTTCAGTTTCAGTTTTAAGTTTCATTTATTTGGTATAGCCATGTGAGCAACTCGGCTCTTGAATCGGGTGCAACCGCAACAAACAAAAAAAAACATAAACAAGAAAACATCTTAAAGTAACTATGTGACTTTGTGCAAAACAGAAAATCCAAGAAAAGACAGCAAAATATTGCAGAAAAAGCACCGTACACCAACGCTGTGTGCAAAAATCCCAGAGTTTCGGCAGCTATAAATGCCCTCATGAAGATGACAAACCCCTTCGTAGAGGTATCCGTTTGTGGCCAGGCCGCTTCTGAAAAAGAGAAACAATTAGCTCAGTGGGGCCTTGCGTGTTAAAAATTTTATTTTTAAAAGTTTAGTTAAGTAATAAATAACCTGTCTCAGTTTCACGAGACGCCACAGTGACAAATTACCCGTTCTAAATCAAAATTGCAGCAGTTGCAAGCGGCAATAAAAAATATTAACATCCTCAGCCATGCTCAATCCATATTCTTTGGTTCTTTCGGTAATGTCACGTAGGTGGGAAAAATAATAATAAATAAAATAAATTAAATTAAATCACGACGTTTCGATTGCAACACAAGCAATCATTATCAGGTGTGAAAACCACTTTTTTCAAATTGTATTGCTTTGGTTTTCACACCTGATGATGATTGCTTGTGTTGCAATTGAAACGTCGTGATTTAATTTATTTTATTTACTATAATTTTTTCCCACCTACGTGACTTTATCGAAGGAACCAAAGAGTATGGATACTTGCAGTCACGAAAACTTCAAATCTAGAATGTTCAATCCACTGCTGGATGAGGCTGCTTCCGCTCGCAATGTTAACCATCCACTCAGCAGCAAATGGACGCGAAGCTGATTTAATTGCTCCATCCCCTGTGTTAAACATCCTCTCCTACATTATTCACATTTTTTTATATGAGACATTTAAAATATATAATATAAAATTATATTAATCGGGCACTCGGGCTGCTGCGCAGGGCAGCCCTAGGGGTCCTGGCCGGCGCGGGTCAGGCCGTGTCGCGCGTAGGTCCCCTTCGACGTAAAAACGATGTCCCTCTGAGTCCTCCTCGTCGACCGCGTTTCAAGTGCGTCGATCGCGGGCGAAGAGAAGGTGGTGCTGGTCTCACGTCCTCTCCGTGCCGCCGTGGCGCGCCAACCTCATCACCATCGGACCGGAGGCGCGGGGTGAAGCCTGCCGCCTTGCCTGGATTCTTCTACGGGCGCCGGAGCTCGGATTCCCGCGAAAGCCTCGGTGCGAGGGACCCCCCCCCCCACCACCACCAACCACCCACCACCCCTAAAGGTTACCGGGTCTACGGGGTTTCTGGATTACAACTTTTAAAGAAAATAAATGCATAACAAAAGCGTTGATGCTAACAGGGTTAACCGATGGTTATAAAGTGTTTTCAACAATAGCTGCATTAGCTTTGGGCGTGTTAATGTGTGCGCTGCGCTTAACGTGTAGGCACGCCATTAATAAGCGATTTTAATATTGTTCGACGATCATGACAATCGTTAAATTAGGTTACGTTAACAATGGCGAATTAAAGGGAGACCTTCATCCCTCAGTGGATTGACGAATGCCGTTTATTATTGATGTGGCGTTTACAGTTCTCCCATCAATATGGTGATTTGTAAAACAATGGTACTGTACCCTATTAACGTATTTAAATTCGCCGTTACTAATATGGCGACTGTACTATAACAGGAGTGTAATGCCACTGTGTGGAAACCCGCACAAATAATAATGACACGACTGCAATCGTATGATAATATCACGAGGCCTCCTTTGCCACTACCAAAATATACTCATAGGGATTTCCCATCTGTTTTTTTCTGGCAACAAAACTGACACCTTTTGCAAGTAATCATTAACCACAATACTTGCAGTCAAATGCAAACAATAAAACAATACTCTGATAATTTGGACTATTGAGAGTGAGATGTCTTTGAACTGTGCGCCTTTTGGCGTCATCTGGTCGAACACCGCATTAGACTAGGCTCGAAGAAAAGCTGTCTCTGGTGTGGACCAATCAGCATCAAGGACAACGCATGAATTATCAGAGTATTTTCAGAAAAAAAGGGGAAACACCCTATTGTTATATTTTGGTACTGGCAAAGGAGGTCCAATTATGTAGATGCTCACCCCGAGCCCTCATTACTTTGATAGTGCATTGTCTTTGAGCTGTGTACGCCTTTGGGCGTCATCTGGTCTAGCACAAATTGAGACTAGGCTCTAAAGAAAGCTGTCTCTGGTGTGGACCAATCAGTGTCAAGGACAATGCATATATTATCAGAGTATTTCGATTTAAAGCTTTCGTGACTGCAAGGATTCATCTTCTTTGGTTCTTTCGGTAAAGTCACGTAGAATGAGAATATAATAATAAAATGAGACAATAAAATTCTCACGACGTTTCGGCCACAACACAAGTAGCCTTCTTCAGGTGAAAGAACAGAACTGTCGGGACGACAGAGCTTGAAGTTCTGTTCTTTCACCTGAAGAAGGCTACTTGTGTTGTGGCCGAAACGTCGTGAGAATTTTATCGTCTTATTTTATTCTCATTCTACGTGACTTTACCGAAAGAACTATCAGAGTATTTTTGTTTTGTTTGCATTTGACTGCAAGTATTGTGGCTAATGTAAACATGATGCCTTGCAAAAGGTGTCAGTTTTGTTGCCAGAAAACAAAGGGGGAAATCCCTCATCGCATGATAATAGTGTTGAGTAAAGACAATGTGCAGTGGAGCGGTGGCGAAGTGATGGGGGGAGGGGGGCGATATGGACCACAGCTAACACGAGTGGCGTTTTGATATCACAGAACCAGTCCTCGTTCACACACTCCCCGCCACCCAATTCCTCACTTCTTCACCAACCTGCACTCACCATCGAGGTGAAGTATGGTCAACAAACACCCACCATCGACAGGCATGGAGAGGCATTCATCCAGCAGTGGATTGACAACAAACTGTGTGGGCAGTACAAAGTCGAATATCCAACCGCCACTTGTCCGCCCTTGGCCAATTAACCGCTCGCACTCGGTGCATTGTTTACGCATGGTGCAACTTGTCATTTACATTCGAGTTATTAATTCGTTTATTTAGTAAATGTTTTACCAGGATAACCCCTTGGGGTGGAACATCTCGTTTGCTGGAGGAGAAGTTTATTTTCACATATCCGACATTTGTGCACATCAGCCCAACATACTCCACTCTTCAGTGAGTTGGATGTCTTTGACGATAGAAGACCGGTTTTCAGATACTGCTCCCAACTTGTGTCATATGAATCGGTCTCCGATTGGCACGGTTGGCTACATGCGGTGCGAAAGAAGTTCAACATACGTACATAATTGCACGTCCGATTAGCCCGGCTGGCTACGTACGGTGCGACAAGTTCAACATGCATAAAACGTGTGACCGTGGATGGTGGTTTGTGCGATGGGGCAATGGGGTGGATGACACGTTTTGCGGCCCACGTGTGTGTATCTGTGTTTGTTTCCATGGCAGGATTTCTCTCTGTGGGTGACCAGCGGTGTAGCTACAAGTCACCATGTCGCGTGAGTCTTACCGTTGGCCCCGTGCTCCCACGGGGCTGGGCTCGAGTCCCTGTTTTCTCTGCAGACCTTCGCATCCACCGCAGTCGCGAACAGCACTTACCCAAAAAATATTAAAGATATAGGGAGGGGGATTATTATTAACACTATACTTTATTCCGTGCGTCTGCCTGTGTATGTGATATCTTATCTAGATTTTTATCGCGCCTTATTCCGAGGCACTTTGCGGCAATATTAAAATTGTGCTTGTACATAAATGATATTGGTTGAGATAAAGAGTGGGGTTTTAAGAAGTGGTGGTGTATATGTGTAAGTGAGTTTATATGTGTGCGTGTGTGTCTGCGTGCGTGTGCCAGGGCGGCCACCTGTGACCGCCTCCCCGGCCCCCGGCACCACCACTCCGGCAGTAAGCCAATCGGCCTGCTCTCCCACCTGCTTCGTGAACTCCGAACCCGCACTGGGCCTCTTTCTCTGGCCTGGAAACCCAAACAGCCCGGGAACGTCTTCGTGATTCATACCCGGCTATCCTTTGGCCATTGACAGTTGTCCTTTTGGCCGGGGCCAACAGTCACGGATATTGAGCCATTGCTTTAAACATTTTTTTTTAATAATTGTGTGTTCCGTGAAGATCCGGGCAAGTTTGAAAGTGTGCCGTGAAATGAAAAAGGTTGAGAAGCACTAATTTAAAAAAAAAGACTGCCTGTGGAATGTGATAGGCGTCACTAAATTACCTGTGTAATAATTTTCCACACTGGGTAATTGTGCACCTCACATGGCCAGCTAATAAGAGGAGTTCCTTGCATGGCGATCGAGTCAGAATTATTTGAGTCTTTTTTTAGTCCTTGTGTTCCGTGTTTTGCTATAAAGCCCTAACCGATGCTCGCTTAACAGCCCTTGCCCTGATTGTGTGTAATGCGAATCACGTTTCAGGTTTATTTTCTTTAACCAGCTTGAGAACTCAAGAGACCAGGATTTGCTCTCTTGCGAGGTTAAACAAATTATTTCGAGACGCTGCTGCCTTGGTGGCAGAGGTGTACGAGGACAAACAACTAAAAACGAAAACTCAGCACATTTGTCAGCAACACTGCGTAGTCTTAAACGAAAAAAATGTTAAGGTGAATTATCGCGGAATGGGCCTGTCTTCAGTTATGTGTTATGAATGTGTTGAGTGTTTTGTTCATTTACAAGAGCGACCTGGGGGGCATTATTCTGCCAGTAGGGGGTAATGATTGCTACTGTGTAATCCCAATTGAGTAATCTGCAGTGCTTGTTTTTGCTAACACTCTGCAAGCTCGTGTGTGTGTGTGCTGTTGTTGGTGCTACTGCACCATTTGGGCTTAGGCAGTGTAGCGATTAGCTCACTGCGCTACGAATCTGGCGACCCGAGTTCGATTTCCACTCATGACCAACACCAGTGACGATTATCTGAACCGGTTCTGAGCCTCCCCTAGGTCGATTCGGCCTCAAATGTGTACCTGGTACGGTGTGTAAACATCGCCACTAGGGAGACAAAGGCCGTCGGGCGTGGTGTTGGCCACCCACCCCCTCGTGTGCTGTGCCGGCCTTCGTAGGTGCTACTCGCTAACAGCACTCGACCCAACAGTCAGTTACAGGCTAAACGGGGGGATCTTTGTCTTTGTTGTTGTATATTTACACCCCCTTGGCCCCACCGTATCTACAGCAAACAACCAGCAACCCTGGCTTCGTGGGCTACAACCCGTACAGCCACCTGGCTTACAACAACTACAAGTTGGGCGGACAGCCTGGAGCCAACAGCAGAGCCATGGTGAGTGAGTGAGTGACAGGCCCTGGGGCCAGGCTGGACCACATAGTGGCTTTTTCCTGACCAATTTTACATTTCATATTTCGTTTCTTTAGATAGTGTAGGTATAACGTACATTTTTGTTAAACTACAACCGTCCACCACCCGAGAGAGCGATACAAATCCAGTTGTCACGTGATAAAATATTCCAATTTATTTTGGGGGGTTTTTTTCCACAAAAGCGGACTGTTGAAAATTAAGCAGACATGTGACGATTGTACACGAGTTTAGATTCAAAACCATTATCACATAGCCAGAGGCCGGCGGGGTTTGTATGGCTGCTGTAACCGCTGACGATAAACAGTATTAAACCTCACAGAGAGCAGCGCGATTGTGGCTAACGGCCCGGTTGCGGCTAACAGCCCCGGTTGCGCTTAACAGCCCCGGTTGCGCTTAACAGCCCCGGTTGCGGCAATCAGCACCGGTTGCGGTTAACAGCCCGGTTGCGGCTGGCTGGCTGGCTGCCTCGCCCTGCCTGCCTCCGACTCTCAGGCAAAACAATTGCTACCGTGGAGACCAAGCTTTGAATTGTGGACCATGCCGATCAAGCCGCCGCCGCCTACGTTGAGTAGAGTAGAACGCGCCTGCGTAACGCGCCCCGCGCCGTAGCTGGAGTCGCCGAAGCGAGCGACGTCATTAACGCTGCCCGTCGGCCCCATTAATCGCACATTTCAAATAATGCATGTCGGATTTTTGCATTTGACGTTTGAATCCTTCCATCTTTTGTAACCATTGCATTGTGAATGACCTCCCCCGTGTGTGCGAGCTGCCCTCCCTTGCATGCAAGCTTTCCGCATTAAGATGGCTTCTGCCGTGCCTCGTCTCGTTAAACGGTGGACTGGGTCGGTGCGCTACGCTGGGGTTTTTTTTCTACTCCCACTTTGCGCCACGCCGTTTATAACGCAACAAAGTTTTGGTTTAAAAAAAAAAAGAACTCAACCTTGAATTCAAGAGCCGGAGTTGAATCCACGCTTGAAGTCCACCTTGACCCTGAAATCAAGATGAAGTGTCAAGACGTCATGAAGGCCGACGCTGTTGATTCCACCACCACCTCGTGGCCAACGCTTTCTGACCGGCTATATCCTGCAGCTGGCACTGTGGCATCTGGGTTTAGGTCTTAGTTCTTCTCTTCCTTCCCCTTGGTCGCTAGACTCGTGGAGACCACTCCAATTCCTGTCTCGGTAAACCGGCTCACCCCCCCCCCCATCTTACACATGTGCCCCACCCAACGTTCGTCTTTTTGACCCTGCATTGTGACACGTGATAGAATCGCAATGGGGGGAGAGGCAGGGATGGTGTGGGTGTGGTGGCGATTCATGGTGTACGCCAGCTGGGGGAGCCGGTTGCCTCCATGGCTCAACCACGAGGGCCGAGTTGAACTCCTGGGCTAGTGTTCCCTCCACGGACCTACTTCTCTCGACAGCGTAATGGGTTTAGTTTCCAGCTCAGCTGCCTGTTACGGCTATCGCCTGCTGCGCTTGACTCTGCTTGGCTTTGTCCCCGCCCTCCCACCCTCCCCCGCCTGCCCGCCCCCCCCACCTTCCTCCGCACCCTAACTCCTACCCCTGCCCGCCCACCACCGCCCATGTACCTACTGTGGCATACGGCGCAGAACGGACAATCGGACAAGCGCGTCTCCTCAACACGTCCGTCCTCCCACTTAAAATAAATAAGCATAATATTGATCCAAGTTAACCACACTGCTGATGAGCCGCTGCTGATGGCACCGGTCCGGAATTTTTCCTTGCATTATTGTGCCAATGCTGCTGAAAATGATGCACTCCCAGAAGGCCACGTGGCTGATGATGGGATGTGTAATAAAATACTGTTTAAAATAGTTTTTTTTCTCTTCATGCAGTGGGACAGATGTGTGCGAGAAGGAGGAGGCGTGTTGTCTGATTATTCATCATGGACGCTAGATTCTCCACGATGCCGCTGAATGCTTGCCTTGTCTTTAGCGCGGGGTGGGCGGGATGTAGAATCGGTTGCCTTGCTTTTCCTTTGGGTCTGAAGGCTCTTCCGGTTGCCTCCAAAGAAGAGTCACGCGGTCCGCTTTTGAGCAGCTATCCCCCCCCCCCCTCGCCAGCTTGCAAATCTTCCGCCATCCCCCCCCCCACCCCTCATCTCCCTCTTCCTTTTGGCTTTGTCGTAACGCATGCCTCATCACCACCACCGCCTGCTGCTCCCATTCCCTCCCACCTCCCCCCCTCCCCTCACCGTGTGCGTAGACAACGTACCTGGGTAGGCAGTCTCACGACATAGCCTCCAGGCAGTTTCGTGACACCTGGGCCGCCCCCGCGTACAGCTATGCCTTGCACGGCCTAGTGAGTGACCTCCCTCCCTCCCTCCCCTCCCCTCCCTCTCTCCCTCCCTCCCTCCCATGCACCTCACAGGTACAGTGAGAGAAAAAAGTATTTGATCCCCTGCTGATTTTGTACGTTTGCCCACTGACAAAGAAATGATCAGTCTATAATTTTAATGGTAGGTTTATTTGAACAGTGAGAGACAAAATAACAACAAAAAATCCAGAAAAACGCATGTCAAAAATGTTATAAATTGATTTGCATTTTAATGAGGAAATAAGTATTTGACCCCCTCTCAATCAGAAAGATTTCTGGCTCCCAGATTTTTTTTGTTGTTATTCTGTCTCTCACTGTTCAAATAAACCTACCATTAAAATTATAGACTGATCATTTCTTTGTCAGTGGGCAAACGTACAAAATTAGCAGGGGATCAAATACTTTTTTCCCCTCACTGTACCTCTCTCCATCCCATGCACCTCGAATGTACCTCCCTCCCATGTACCTCCCTCCCATGTACCTCTCTCCCATGTACCTCTCATGTACCCTCCTACATCCCATGTACCTCCCTCCCTCTTACCTCAATCCCTCCCTACCTTGTACCTCCCTCCCACGTCCCTCCCTCCCTCCCCGGATAAGGTGCTAAGGTACACGATTACCCACAACCCTGGGCGTCACTCCCCTCCATCTCCTACCGGGGGTGGATCGCCTCGTCCTGCCCCCCCCCCCCTGCCCCCCCCGACATTCCCAGCTGACAAAGCGGGGGGCACCGAGTGGCTTGTAGTTATCCGATATGCTTTCGGATTGGCCCCCCCCAGCAGCACCCACCACACCCCCTCCCCCCGAATCCCCCCACCCCTTGTTCGGCGTGATGTCCGACGTTTCGCTCCGCGTCCTGGAAGCTTCTTCGGGAAGTGAGTGGAGAGCGCCGTGGCAGCGCGCGGAGCGAAACGTCGGGGCGCCGGGAGCGTGTCGTGTCGAGCGAGCGAGCGAGCCAGCGAGTGTTTCTGTCGTGGGCAGTGGTGCGCCGCGTGTGCCGTTGGTGTGCTGCGGAGTGGTGGGTTCTTGCATCGAGTGGTGTGTTTTGCAGGTTGGTTTTGTTGTGTTGCGGTCTAGTTCGTGTTGTGTTGTACTCTATGAGGTCTGTGGTTTTGCATAGGAGTGCTGCGTCGCTTGCAGCGGCTTGCCGTAGGTGCGGCGTGGTGTGGTGCAGTCTGCCGTGGTGCAGTGTGTTGTGATGTGGTGCAGTGTGTTGCTTGGAGTGGCTTGTCGTAGTGCGGCGTGGTTTATGGTGCAGTGTTTTGTGATGTCCTGCAGTCTTGTTGTGGTGCAGCGTGTTGTGACGCGGTGTGTTGTGACGAGGTACAGTGTGTTGTGACGAGGTACAGTGTGTTGCTTGGAGTGGCTTGTCGTAGTGTGGCGTGCGTGTGCCGCGGTGTTTTGTATCCGTCTTGGCGCCGTGCAGTGCGGCGTGTCAGTGCGGTGTGGCAAGCCGTTACACTAGCAGGGTGGCGTGGCGAACCGTTACCGTGTGCCACGCGTTGCTTCGCTCGCAGACAAACCCTGGGATCACAGTGCCAAAGCCGCCCAAGCCTCCAGACAAGCCCCTCATGCCGTACATGCGCTACAGCCGGAAGGTACGAGAAGCACTCGCGTCATACAAAACTTAACAAGACAATGATCCCCTGGACAGCCTTAATATTATTTTGGGGCAAGTGCTGTCAGCAAGCAGCACCTATGAAGGCCAACACGACGCACGAGGGGGTGGGTGGCCAGTACCACGTCCGACCGCCTTTGTCTCCCCAGTGGCGATGTTTAACACACCGCACCAAGTACTCATGAGGCTGCGTCGACCTCGGGGAGGCCCAGAACCGGTTCAGATAATCGTCACTGGTGTTGGCCGTGAGCGGGAATCGAACCCGGGTCGCCGGGTTCATAGCACAGCGCGCTAACCGCTACACCACCGCTCCCCATACGCGCACGCACGCACGCACGCACACGCGCACACACACGCACACACGCACACACACGCAGCTAAACAAACGCGAGTGGCCGAATCACGACCCGACGCCGATCGAAATCTGTCGCATACCTCAAACTGTGTGCGTCTGAGCATCGATTATTTGCAATTTCGTTCAAAATTATTTTAAACTGATAGGCGCATAATACCACTGATCCCCCTATAAAGGACACGAACGGTCCTCGCAACTGTCCGCTCACATTATTTGGAAACAACCCAAACCCGGCGTCGCGTTCAAATTGAACGTCGACAGCGCGCGGCTAGGGCACGCGTTCTCGAACGCAACGAGGACGTGAGGAATAAGTTCAACTCCGCTTTGGTTCAGAGAAGCGAGCCGGCCGTGGTGGGGGGGGGGGTGGGGGGGTCTAGCCAACCCCCCTCCCCCAACACACTGAGCGCCAACTCCTCGCACGAGCGAGTGATGGATCGTGGAGGGGCGGGTGGGGGGGGTGGGGGGAACGGGCGGGCAGGGGGGGGCGGACGGGCATGTGGGGGTTTGGGGGGGGGGCTTAGCGGCTGGGACGCGCGGCTCGTGTTGCCAATGAGGGTGGCGTTGATTCGTCGACTGCTGTGTGCGCGTGTAGCCAACCCGAGGGAAGAAGAAGGCAGGGCGCCCCACGGTGCAGGTGGGAAGCCCTCGTTCAGATGCACTCGGGCGAAAGAGACCTTCGTGTGTGGAGTGACCTTGAGAGCAAAGCGAGAGCCTGCGGCGAGACTGAGAGAGAGCGTGAGAGAGCGCGAGAGAGCGAGAGAGGGAGAGCAGCGAGCGCTGTCCGAGCCCAGCGGCCTCCGCGGAGACGTTGGGCTTAGAACTTGGGGTTGGATTCTCAGGCAGCCTTTAGAGCAGTCAAGTGTCCTTTTGGTGGCGGTGTTGATGACGATGTTGACGTTGTTGGTGGTGATCGTGGTGGTGGTGGTGTTGGTGGTGGTGTTAGTGGTGGTGGCGGCACTGGTGGTGATCGTGGTGGCGGTGACGGGCACTGGTGGTGGCGGCGGTGGTGATGGCGAGATGCGTGTACGGGGCGCGCGGGCGTGTCTCTTGCCAGGTCTGGGACCAGGTGAAGGCGTCGAACCCGGACCTCAAGCTGTGGGAGATCGGCAAGATCATCGGTGGCATGTGGAGGGACCTGAGCGACGAGGAGAAGCAGGAGTACATCAACGACTACGAGGCGGAGAAGGTGAAGGGGTGGGGGGGGGGGGGAGCGGCTGTTGCTGTGCAGGGAGGCGGAAGGGCACGTAGCCCCCTCAACCGCCGCTTCCCGTAACCAACGAACGAGCAATCGCTGCGTAGGGTGAATATGGGGTTGCCCAGAGACAGGGTGAGGCTACGGCGCGTCCTTGTTGCGCAGCCGCCGCCGCTCGGGGAGCGGACGAGAGCGGCCGCGGGCGACGATTTGCGTCGTGCGAATTTTCGAGCCCGTCTGATTTCGCGACCCGTCGCCCGGGTGCGGACGCGATGGGTTTGCCGTGAGCGGCCGAGCCACTGCCGAGAGTCGCGCGAGCGAACGTGCGCCGCCGCCGCCGCCGTCTTGTCTCACGCAGATCGAGTACAGCGAGGCGATGAAGACGTACCTCAACTCGCCCACCTACCTGGCCTACGTGAACGCCAAGAGCCGCGCCGAGGCGGCGCTCGAGGAAGAGAGCCGCCAGCGCCAGCGCAACGACAAGCTCGAGTCCTACATGAGCATCCAGCCCGCGGAGGACCCCGAGGGTGAGCGGGCGCGGTGATAGGGGGAGGCCGGGGGCACGTGGGGGGGTGCGCACACGATCACGCAAGCAGCCGTGTGTGTGCGCGCACGCCCGCGCCCCCACTCAGTCGCAGTTCCACGAAGTCTTTTCCCTCGCTCGCCGGACTCGTGGAGACCATTCCAGTGTCCGGCAATCGGCTATTTCCCTGCATCCTGCACGCACGCGTCCCAGCGGTCACCGCCTCGTAAAAACGATCCGATAGAAACGTACTTTGGGCGATTTGATGATCCGTGATCTGATTAACCGAAGGCGTTTTATTTTTGTATTATTCCCGCCCCCCCCCCCCCCCCCCGCCCCCCCCCCACCGCTTCCGCCCACCCCGACTCGTCAGACTTTGACGACGGCTTCTCGGTGAAGCACGTGTCGGCCGGGCGATTCCTGCGCAACCACCGTCTCATTAACGAGATCTTTAACGAGTCGGTGGTGCCGGACGTGCGCTCCGTGGTGACCACCAACCGCATGCAGGTCCTGAAGCGGCAGGTGCACTCGCTGATGGTCCACCAGGTACGGCAACGACGGCAACACCACGCGGCGCGGTGCTCACTGCCACACAGCGCGGCGCGATTCGGGCTCGGTGCAGTCGGTGGCGGATCTACATTGGGGGGGGGGGGGCGATGGGGGCGGGGTCGATCGCCCCCCCCCCCCCCCCCAACTCCCCCCATACCGCCCCCTTGAGACCCTAAAATTGGTATTCTATCCATACTCTTTGGTTCTTTCGGTAAAGTCTTGTAGTTGGAAATAAAATAACTACGTCACTTTACCGAAAGAACCAAAGAGCATGGATTCCTGCAGTCAGGAAAGCTTCAAATCAAGATTGGTTTTCTATTGATACCGTAAAATTAATTTAGGGCCATAATTATAAAAGAGAGACATTTCATGTATGCCCCCCCCACCCACCTCTGGAAAGTGTCTCGATCTGCCTCTGCATTGCACCCTATATTACTGAAAATCTGTTCATAGGATGATCAGTAATATAGGTTACATGAATATCGGATTATTACTATAATGGATAAGTATACCTTATAATCTAGTGGTAGTGCCTTGACCCGACAATATCTACTCAAAGCCACCCAGTAACAGCGTTCTGAGAAATTAAGCCAAGGGTATTATTAGTATTATCTTGAACACCTTATGCAGTCGTGTTGGCCACACCACCGCATAAACGTTTGGCAGGTTCAGTGACTGAGCATCCGTGATCACCCACTCCTGTGAGCCCAGTCCTCGTGACGAGTGCACCGTGCTGACCACACCAAGTAGAGCTCCTTGGAAAAACAATGCTGCTTGAGAATCGGAAATCTTTATTTATCCTGGAAGGAATCCGATGAGCCGATGAAAAGCAAATTGTCACAGATGTGCGGTAGGGGGGGGCGACTCAGAAAATTTCAACAACCAACAGGACAAAACACACGATAGGGGAGGGCTCGGGACAAGTTTTAATCGAGCCCTATTATAGCAAAGGTAAGCAAATCACTTTAAAAAACAAAAAAAACACACCATTTATTTTACCAGGTAAAGCCCACTGAGCTGTTAGCTTCTTTTGCGGAAGTGACCTGGCCACTAATGGTCGCTCGACGAAGTGGCTCATCGTGCGGACGCTTATAGCAGTCGCCAAATACTCTAAATAATCTCAACACACGTTTGCCAAACTGGCCGAGACGCGAGGATTGTTCCCGAACATCTCCCGCGGGTAACTGGGTCCGGCTCTTTGGTGCGGGGGGGACCCCCGGTGAAACTGAGCTGGCCGTGCCTCTGCACACTGTTTTTGCGCACGGGAGCAGCGGCAGCGGAGGTGCCATGGTAGCGAGATGTTAACTACCTCGCCTGGTATGCAGGAGGTCGTGGGTTCGATCCCAACCTTGACGCCTGCTGCTGCTGTATATTTGGAGTTTGCGTGTCGCTCTCTCATCATCATCATGGTGGCTAGGAGATGTTAACTTCCTCGCCTGGTATGCAGGAGGTCGTGGGTTCGATCCCAACCTTGACGCCTGCTGCTGCTGTATATTTGGAGTTTGCGTGTCTCTCTCTGTCTTTTCCCGTGGTCGCGTGGATTTTTCTCCGGGTCCTCGGGTTTTTCCCTCCACATTTAGAATCGACGTCATTTGACCGCTATAAAGAGATTGGTGCCAGAAAGATGTGGCTCGACTTGAGCATATTGGCACAAGACGTAGGAAAGTGAAAACCAATGCCGTAATGTGCAGTGGACACCGAGGGGCTATCTGCTCACGGATCGTGATGATGGTGTTGAAATTTCCACGCGACAAGCCACTTCATTGGGATATCATTTGTGGCCAGGTTTCCCTGCTGAACAAAAAAGCTACATAGCTCAGTGGGCCTTACCTGCTAAATTACACTTTAAAAAAAAAATCGTTTTAGTGTAGCAGCAGCGGCGCTTTCACCGCGGGCTGCGCGTCGTAGACGGCGCCGACGGAGAGTTCGGGGCCAGTACGCTCCGCTCGGTTGAGATAGCACAGAGCGGATCGCTGCCGACTGTCGTAGACGATCCTATGTCACGATAGATAAGCAGGCGGTGGCACGGGGATGCCATCTCCCTCGCCTGGTACGCAGGAGGTCATGGGTTCGATTGCGGGTTCTCTCTCTCTCTCTCCCCCGTTGGTGGTCGCGTGGATTGTTCTCGGGGTTCCCCCCACATTGTGAAACCAACGTGCGCTTAAGATTCCTTGCCCTCTCCTGTAAACGGAAAAGTCACCCTTGCCCTCTCGGTGCGGCGTGCGCCGTGGTTTCCGCGTCGCAGCAAAAGCTGGAGGCGGAGCTGCTGCAGATTGAGGAGCGGCACCAAGGCAAGAAGCGCAAGTTCCTCGACTCGACCGAGCGCTTCAACTCGGAGCTCAAGAGGGTGAGGCCCGGGGTCGCACCGTGGGCTTGCGTGGGGCCTAGGGGTTTGTTAAGAGCAACCACAGCGATTTTTTCCGTGAACCCGTTTGCTGTTACTGCCCCGTCTTCTGGCCACGTCCGAGCCCGGCTGGTTCCGGGAAACGTAATCTCACGTGATCTGCGCGATCCGTCGCTCGGTCAGCTTTTACAAGAGATTAGCTGCTCCGTAATTCTCAATCTCCAGCGAAGGCATCGGCAGAAATTCTCACTCTGCTATGGCGGGGAGGCTAGCCAGCGTGGTACAGGAGTGGACTTGCCGACGACCGGTACCAGCAGCGTCAGGATCAGCCTCTGCGGAGGAGACTCGTGAAGGATGCTGTTACCGGGCAGTTGAAGGCAGTCGCTCTCCAGCTACAGCGAATGGCGGAGGAGCGACACTCGCGCCAACGAGCGTAGCGCCGGGAGGCTAAAAGGCCGCGAGTTGGCACAGTGTGGAGCACGTGCGGTGCACCTGCCAGTCATCTCGCTCAGTCAACCCACGGCACCCGGGTCTGTTTTGTGACAAACCTCCTGCCTTGTGAACCTTCGACACTTCACGTGGTCTCAAACTGCACCGAGCCTGACGCAAGCGCCGTGGTGACGTCACCGCTACATAGTGGCGAACGGCGGTTGTTTCTGTCGTCGTCGTCGTCGTCGTCGGTGGTGTGTGCGTTGCAGCTGCGCGGCCAGAAGATCGAGGTTGACCTGCAGAAGGTGGCGGCCGACGTGGCCGCCACCGCCGAGGAGACGGCGCAGAAGCGGCGCGAGGAGGAGCGCGACAAACCCACGGCGCCACCGGCACCCGCACAGGTGCGGCGCGCGGCGACACGCACGCCGACGCCCACCGCGTGGCGAGAGAAAGCACGGCCACGCACGGCACCCAGCGACACGCACCGCGGTCGGCTGCGCGCGGTGCAAACGAAGTTCAGCACGCGTACACAGCCTGTCGTGAGACGCACGGCACACGCCACGACACGCACTTTACCATGGTGACTGGGGGACACGAGAGTGGCCGGGTGTGGTTTTGGCGGCACTCCCCCACTCTTGCGCCGTGCCAGCATTCATAGTTGCCGCTCCGCTAACAGCATTTGGCCCAGCAGCCAGTGCGGGCTACATTGGGGATCGTCGTTTTAATCGTTTGTTTACGTGCATACCTATGTGTATGTGTGTGTGGGGAGCGGTAGTGTAGCGGTTAGCGCTACGCTGCGCTACGAACCCGGCAATCTGAGTTCGATTCCCGCTCACGGCCAACACCAGTGACGATTATCTGAACCGGTCATGGGCCTCCCCTAGGTCAACTCAGCCTCAAATGAGTACCTGGTGCGGTGCGTAAAAACATCGCCGCTGGGGAGACAAAGGTGGCCGAGCGTGGTGCTGGCCACCCACCCCCCTCGTGTGCCGTGACGGCCTTGATAGGTGCTCGCTAACAGCACTTGCACCAATAGTCTGTTTAGGCTATACGGGGGATCTTTGTTTTTTTGTGTCTGTGTAAAGACGACTTGGCACGCCTGTCTTGAGACGGTTTCTTTATTTAGTCGACACGTTCACTCGAACAGGCGTAGACCCCACTGCAACAGCCCAAAGTCTCCCGCGCATCTCCCTTATATACGGACCGAGGCCACACCCCTCTTCCCGAACCTTCTCGTTGGTTCTAGACACTGGCTCCACCAGCAGTCTACCGTCCTCTTCCGTCACCTGGCCACGCTTCCTTCTCGATCAATCCCGTAGCCGTCAGTCCATTCGCACTGTAGGCTGACTCCCCTGTCATTACCTCCCGTGGCCGCTCTCACCGCAGGTTGACTCTACTGTCATTAGACCTGTACGTGTCTGTGTGTGTGTTTGGTCTCCCCACCACCGTGTGCCGTAGTCGGCCTCCATGGAGGTGGCCGAGGGGGAGAAGAGCTCCGACTCGGAGCGGCAGGATGAGCCCAGCCCCAGCACGACCGCATCGGCACACACGGAGCCCACAGCTCCGCACGGTGAGACTCCCTCCCTAGTCGTGCCAGGGATATCCACACACCCAGCTTGGTGAGAGAGAGAGAGAGACTGGGCCTGTTCGATGTTCTCAGTAATCGATTTCTCTCCTGATTAACCGCTCAGTAACTCGACTAAATGGATAACGTGACAATAAATTTTGATTTAAAGCTTTCGTGACTGCAGGGATTCATATTCTTGGTTCTTTCGGTAAAGTCACGTAGAAGGGAAACAATAAAATGATAAAAATATTAAACAATAAAATTTTCACGACGTTTCGACTGCAACACAAGCAATCATCATGTTTCCCTTCTAGGTGACTTTACCGAAAGAACCAAGAATATAACGTGACAATAGTTTGAGTAGAAAATGTCTCACCTCCGTCTCCACCTGGTGTGCTGCTGGACGGGAGGTGTGGTCTCGGCCACACCACCCCCCCCCCCCCACTGGGGAGACAAAGGCGGCCGGGCGTGGTGCTGACCACCCTCCCCCTCGTGTGCCGTGCCGTAATTCATAGGTGCTCGCTAACAGCACTTGCCCCAAAAGTCTGTTTAAGGCTACACGGGGGATCTTTGCCTTCCGTGTGTGCAGCCTCGGACGCGTCGGCCACCGACGAGGGCTCCTTGCCAGCCAGCGGCGCCGACGGCGACAGCGGCGGCGTCGTCATCAAAAAACCGGAGGCGCAGAAGCCGGACGAGAGCAACAGCAGCAGCAACAACAACGCGGACGACGAGGAGGAGGACGAGGAGGAGGAAGACGAGGAGGATGACGAAGATGAGGACGACGACCAGGACGAAGGGGAGGAGGAGGAGGAGGAGGAAGCAGCGGCGGTGGCAGAACCGGCAGCTGCGGCAAAGGACAAGGACAAGGGGGAGACGGCGCCACTGGCCGGGACGCGCGGCCGCGGCGATGGGAACCGCGGCCGCGCCGCCAGCACCGGCGGTCGGGGTGATGGGGGCGGCGGCGGTCTGGCCGAGCGGGCGGCGGAGGAGCTGCCGATCGGGAAGCCGGGGAGGCACGGCAGGGAGCCGTGTGGGGGGCACGGGGGCAGCAGCAGGGCCGGGGCAGCGGGGGGTAGGGGCAGCGGGCGGGATAAGCACGTAGGAGGGGGGCAGAGAGAGGGGGGGTCGCCCGGCAGCTCGGAGGGCCTGCCCCCTACTGCGATTGGGGGTCATCAGCGTGCAGAGAAGCAGGAGTGAGCGCGCGCGTGTGTGTGTGTGTTAACTTGTGGGTGTCTGTGGTTGCATGTATGTGTATCCGTGTGTGCATGTGTGTACGTCTGTGTGTGTGCGCGTAGGTGTTCGCTGTCAGTACCTGCCCCCTGCAGTCCGTTGAAGGCTGTTTGGGGGATCTTTGTCTTTGTGTGCACGTGTAGTGTGTGTGTGTGTAAGTACGTGAATGGGTAATTGTGTGCGTATATGTGGTGCGTGCGTGAGCGTCAGCGCAGTGTACAGTGCGCTGCTGTACGAACCCGGCCACCGGAGTTTGATACCCGGCCACGGCTAACATCAGTGGTAAGTGGTATATTAAAATTTGTCCTGAGCCTCCGCCAGATCATCTTGGCCTTACATGACAGTACCTTTGTGTGTGTGTGTGTAAGATAGTATATGTGTGCATGTATGTTTGAGAATGCATGTGTAAGAGAATCTATGCGTATATGTACGTGAGAGTGTGTATGAAGGGGGAGTAACTTTGTGTGTAGGTCAAGTTTGGAACACGTGTGGCGTGCTGGGGCAGCTGAGTGGAGTAGCCCGTTCGTTCCATCAGAACACGCGTGGTGTGCTGGGGCAGCTGAGTGGAGTAGTTCGCTCGTTCCATCAGAACACGCGTGGTGTGCTGGGGCAGCTGAGTAGAGTAGCCCGCTCGTTCCATCAGAACACGCGTGGTGTGCTGGGCCAGCTGAGTGGAGTAGTCCGCTCGTTCCACCAGAACGCACGTGGTGTGCTGGGGCAGCTGAGTGGAGTAGTCCGCTCGTTCCATCAGAACACACGTGGTGTGCTGGGGTAGCTGAGTGGAGTAGCCCGCTCGTTCCACCAGAACGCGCTGGTTAAACGTGAGAACCGCGTTGGTTTCCATTTATTGCCGTTGCTTGAAAGGAGAGATCTCCACGTTTCGGCCGACTTGATTTCACCTGCGTGGAACTTTCCACGGGCCGCGTTTATAACCCAAGCGCGGTTTTCTCCAGGAGTTGGGGTTGCCAACGTTGGCTGAGGATTCCTTCTCTCGAGCTTTCGCCACGCGGGGCGTCTTCGGGAGTAGAAAATAGTAAATCCCTCCTGGAGCCTGCGCTTGCATGTCCAACTTAGAACACAAACTTGTGGTGTTCGTTTGACTGGCCTTCTGCAAGAAACTGTCTTAAATTGGCCCAAAACAAGGCGATGGGGCTGTAACGGTGACAATAAAAACACCTCTGCAGTTTTAATTTGGCGGAACATGTTTATTGGCCACGATCTCATCGCACAGTACACACTGTCACGATATGGGCTTGGCCCTGTATTCCTGGGCGTTGAACGGTTGCCCTCTTTCCAGTCGAGAAAGAGACCACGTTGTCAGAGGTGTACAGGTAAAGTAAAAAAACGCACTTGACTTTATGTAATTTCCAATGTAGTTCTGCATTATCGCCTTCAGCGTGAAGCACTGCTATCTGCCGCCATCGCCTCGTTGACACGCTTCGTGGTGGCGCGATCGGGAGTTTGCCCACGTCCTGCTGATGAAACTCGGAAGGTCGAAACCCAGAGGTGTAGTTTTTGCCTGGCTTGAACAATGCATCTGGAAAACATTGGTCAAGAAGGGTGTATACCGCACGTGGTGTGCCGGGGTGCGGAAATATTTTTCACGGTTGACGGGACCCGGCTCGGATGAAAGCCCTAGGCCGTTGACACGTCTGAGCATGTTTGATGTTGTTGTGTATCAGCCTGTACGCACGTGTTGATTTCCCCAACTCGGTCGTGACCGCGATAGAGAATGTGTTTCACTGCTTAGTTAAGATTGCTGGTGTTGGACAGGGTACAGGGTGCGTAGTGGGTGACGTGGTGGTGGAAATAACCCTTAACTATTGTCAATATTGTCAATGTTAATGATAGGTTTAAAGGAATGTTGTTGGGTCCCCCCCCCCCCCCCCGTCGCGGTATGTCCGTCGTTGCAGGCAAGCTTTGTTCATCGAGATTCCTGTGTTGCCGCTAGAGGCAAGTGGAACCAATTGAGCCGAGGTTCCGTTGAAAACGGTAAAACGCTCTGGACTAGTCGGTGTGCAGGGCCCCCCCCTCCGCCTCCCCCCCCCTGCCCCCCCCCCCAAGCGGTCGCGTGATGGCTCTGAACCGCGCCTGCGTTGTCGCTTTTAAATCGAGACGCAACCCAGGAAACATCAACATTAGTCTTTTTTTTTCGTCGTAGTCGCGCACACATCCCCGGCTCTGTGGTGTCCCCAGGCCATCGGGCACACGCTCAGAGCTACGTGAATGAGAGAGAGGGAGAGATACAAAAAAGCATTTAAACTTATTTTAACAAACGCCGCCGCGACCGGAAGGGTCCCAAACAACTCGAGCAAGATAACCCCAAGCCCCACTCCTTCCCCGGCTCCATGAAAGACATCTGAGCTTGAGTGTAAAATTATAATAAACCTAGCAAGCCATTTCACTTTTTAAATGCAAATTAATTTCACAACTCTACCCTGTCTGCATCTCGTCTCTCCCCTCAACACACGTTTGTCTATATGTCTCTTATCTCGGTCCATCTCTTCTGTCATCCCACTGGGTGTTTAAATGTTGATAGAGGGGGGCTCGCACCATCAACTTCCCAGGACACCCCACCTGTGTACAAGAGCAGAGTTATTTGTTTTATGGGTTGCGTCTTCCTGTTACAATCTCGTGTATCTGGAGTTTGTTTTGCCTTGCGTATCTCTTTATTATTATAATTATAGTAATCTTGATTATTATTTTGGCATGGCCCCTGTTTCACCCTCACCTTTGCCCGGCACGCAAACGCCGCCCTCCTCGCGATTCCTCGTCCAATATCGGAGCACCGTTGTATATTGGTGGCATCGCTACGCAAGGGGAGATCTTGCAAGGCTTGGTTGCAACTGAGAGCGATTGTGTCTGTCGTACATGATCTGTATTTTGGTAAAGAATTGATTGCATTTTCAGTGCTTTCTCGATATTTTCGACTCGTTTCGTCATTGGGTTACACCTAACGGTTGTGAGTTCCGTGACTTGCCTATCGTCTCACCGCTGTCCCATGGACTTGGCCAATAGCTCACACATCAAGGTGAAAAACTGGCTTCCCGATGAAAAGATCGGAGTGCGATTCGAACTCGGACGAGGATTTGGAATCGGACTTGGACTAAAGTAAGATTCATTTCGGAAGATCAGCTTCACGGTCGGTGCTAGAGTGAGATTTAGGTAATTCAAACTCGCAGCAGAGCAGGGATTTACTCGTACTAGATTTCATTGAGACTCGAGAGGCTAATGTGAGATTTTGACTCCCAAGTAAAGTTGCATGAAAACACTAACATACATTATTTTTTCCTGGGTAGTAAGTGTTATTTACTAATTTCTTATGCCTCAAAAGTAAAGAAAATGGCTATTCCCCACAAACTTTGCTTTTGTGACCAGGACAGTGATATTTTGAAACGTACATATTTTCAATGAGAAAACGTGGTGTGCATTTGTGTCATTCTTTCACGTAAAGTCCTGGCCACAAAAGCAAAGTTTGTGGGGAGGAATAGCCATTTTCTATACTTTTTAGGCATATGCAATTAAAAAATAGCACTTCGTACACAGGGACAAAAATTGTGTTACATAGTGAAATCAATACTACTCATTTGTATTCTGACGTCAACGTGATTTTATGTAGGCCGAGAGTGGATTGGGTAGGGGGGGTGGTTAGGAATAGAGCTGAGATTGAGTTAGGGGTTTGGTGTCGGGTGTTGTGACACGGACGGTTGCCCGTTGTTGGCGTGTTGGAATCGCACACCTGTGTGTGTGTGTTTTTGCCAACGTCGCCCCATGTACAAAACGTGAGGGCACCCAGAAATCCCGGCACCAGCCCTGCTTAGGAATGGGGGCAGGTGGGGGGGGGCAAGGCCACACACAATCACAGGAACAAGACTGAAGAACGAGCAGATACATTTGCCAAAAGCGAAACGTGGAGAGGGCCATACTTAGCATTACCATTGCCAGGCTCACCAACCAGACCCTCTCTCTCATTTTGCTTCCTTTTGTAATGTTCCTCACTCATGTGGGGGGGGGGGGGGTGGTCTGCCTTCCTCCTCGGCCTCCTTTCCTGGGCCATCGTCCCCATGTCCACTCCACAGCCCTTCACATCCCTGGTTCACCACTTGGACCCACCTCTGTGTAGGCCCTGCCTCTCTCTCGGTCTCTGCCCCTGGCGCCAAGGCGTACGTCATATTTCTTACTCGTGTACACGTCCTTCCTGGCCAGATGAGTTAACTTTCAGCTGCACTAGCTCCAGCTCTGACCGCAACGAAATCGTTGACTCAAAACAATGGCGCATTCGGTAATCGCGCCATTCTCACGAGCGGAAGGCTATCGCGAAGGCCACGCTTCGCGAACATAGTCCGCGGTGGTTGTGCTCTGTGTAATTAATCCCGATTGAGTATTTTGTGGGGGCATTTTTAAAAAAAAAACGTTGGGCCGTGACGCCAAGCGCACAGTGGCCTACGCTTTTCGAGTGACGCCACGGGCTCTTCAACGATCGCCGTGGAGCAGACGGTGCACAGTATTTTATGGTTAATACACATGGCAGTATTAACTAGGGTGGCCTTTTGAATTCGAACCACAAACCCGTTTCAACAAGCGGCGTTGTGCGCTACCGTTGGGCCATATCAACAAAACTGCCACTAACCCTGCCCCTGACCCAACTCTGGAAATGTACCATGACGACATTGATCCATAACTAACTCTCGTTGTACACCCTCATCCAGCCGACACAGCCAAACAAATACAGTTGTCACGTGAACAAACGTGCCAAGGCATTCCTTGCTTCAGCACACCGATGTTGTAATATACGAACAGCAACATCGGGCAATTATTGTGAACATGGCCTCCAGTCTTGGGCCTTGAACGATGATGCAGCTATCAGCGAAAGGTCGTACATCATTGTTAAATGTGTGTGCATCTCTCCCCGACGATAACATCGGTGCGCTGAAACAAGTCATATTTTTTTGGCACATTTGATGATGGGGCAACTTTATTTATTCGTCCGCGTTGGGTGGAGGAGGGTGCACGAACACAACGTTGGCATTTTTACCCGAAAATAAAAATAAATTCTGAATCGTAACATTGTTTGCGAAAGACGACGCGTTAAAATGAACCCAAGGACATTTTTCAATGCCTTTCGTTCACATGTTCACTGCTGGTAATCACGGCACCAGTAGGGCGGTGCGTTGTTTTTTTTAAAGGCTAAGCGGGGGTGGTGTTTTATTTGTTTTGTATTTTTAACATTCCATGGCTGTGACTTCACATGTTGGAAAAATAAATAAATGTGCGTTTGGAAACTCGGAAATGAAAGGGGACACTTTCTTTACGAACGAAACGGAGGGTCTCTCGAAATACGCAAATCATTTACAGCATGTTCAGAATGCGGCTCCTCGGGTTTTATTAACCAGAACACCTTCGTGTCATAATAAACCCCTGCACTGGCTGCCAGTCTCACATGGAACACAGTTTCAAATCCCATTGTTAATTTGCAAAGCGGTGAACCATCTTGCCCCAGCCTTCATCATTAACATGCTGCACCCACGTGTCCCCTAAAGGTCCCTAAGATCTGGGAATGGAGATCTCCTCTGCATTCCCAGGTCAAGGCTTCGGTCTGTGGGTGATCGAGTGTTTTTTTTTTCTCCCCGTGTAGCCCTCAGGTTATGGAACGCTCTTCCACGAGATATCAGGGATCTCTCTTGATTCGGTGCACATTTTTTTAAATGCGTCTTAAACCCTATTTATGTACGCTTCCGATTTTTAAACGTTTAGTTCATTTATTAAATGGATTATATATATAAAAAATACATGCTGTCTGCTGCTGCTGCTGTGTCCTGCGCAGCGCTTTGAAATCCTTGGTGAAAAGCGACAATATAAATGGAATTATTATTATACGTACATATTGTGACGTTGCTCGGACGCATGTTTCCCATCTACAGAGAAGCTGGAATCAAGAACGGAAATGGACTTAATTGGAATTATCATCGTCCCGATCGTTTACCCGGGAAAGCCTCACCGAGTCTCGATGCTTTTGTTTAGGAGGAGCCTGCCAAACGAATGATGCTGGGGCCACCAGCTGTTATGAGTGGGAGCCTTGTTAAATACAAAAAGCATTTCGGTATTTTATGAATAATTTGGTGATGCTGTTGCGTTGGGAGTAGCGCACAAGCACAATTCACAACAAAAACTCCACGCAATTTTGTCAACAACAATAACGAACACAATGTGGCCTTAAAATAAGTAAAAATGTATATAATTGGCGACGTTTCGGGCAGTGGCCCTTCACGTGCCGTCCAATATTTCACGCACACGGGGGAACCCACGTGGGCCCCATCTTTACTGGTCTTGTACCACGTGACGCAAGGCGTCCAATCGCAGAGGGGCTCGCGTTGCTGCCATGGTAACCGACCTACGCCGTACTGGTGCAGCCTCGGACCTCCCGGCCACACCACCACCACCAACATCGCCAAAGTTTAACCGCTCGAACGCAAATTATCTTACTTTTTTTAAATAACAAGACAGCCTCAGGGTCCGTTAAACTACACCCGCGCCTCTGTCGTGGCCGAGCGCGACGCGTGGAAATGGTGAGCGCGGTGTTGGGGGGGGGCGGTTTATTCCAAATCGACAATTCCAGTCAAGGCCTTTTTTTCGAGGCCCTCTCTCTCTCTCGTGCCCGCTCATCATGCCCCGCAAAGTCACTGTCGTTCATCGTCTTTAGGCGAGTTACACGGCGGACAACGAGGCAATTCACGACGTCGTGTGTTTTGCCATGCCGAAACGGTTGTTGTTGTTGTGTTAAATCGTCACGAGCCGTGGTTTATCCACTGCTGGATGATTTGTGTGTGTGTGTGTGTGCGTGTACGCCCATGTCGGCGCGTTTTCCATTACAGTGCTTGGCCCGTCTTCTTTGGTTCTTTCGGTAAAGTCACGTAGAATGAGAATAAAATAATACATTAATAAAATAAAATAACAATAAAATTCTCACGACGTTTCGGCCACAACACAAGTGGCCTTCATCAGGTGAAGGGACGAGACTGCGCTGGAGCGCTGTCCTCCAGACAGTCTCTTCCCGAAACGTCGTGAGAATTTTATTGTTATTTTATTTTATTATTTTATTCTCATTCTACGTGACTTTACCGAAAGAACCAAAGAAGATGAATCCTTGCAGTCACGAAAGCTTTAAATCGAAGTGCTTGGCCGGTTTAACAATTATTACAATTATAGGTTTGTAGTAACGACTAGATCTTAATGGTACATTGAAGTGAAAGTGATGTATTGTTCAAACGAGCACGGGAGGTGGTGCCTATCCACTGTTTATATCCGTGTATATACCAATACTGTTGCGTCTGAATGTTAAACTTTGATGATGATTTAATAGCTCGTTATCATGTTAGATGCGTTGTATGGCGTGAACTTTGAGTGCAACAAAGTGCTTTTGTAAGGGTTGCTGTGAAGTAGGGTAATTGTCCGAAACGTCACCTGTTATATAACTTTTTTTTTTACGCCACAGAGTTATTGACGAATGTGTTGGGTGGGGGTGAGGGTTTGTTATACTGGTAGGAACGAAGTTGTAAACTGAGTGTACCAGCCTGCAATAGATTAATGTGTCCGTCCGTCCGTCCCCTTTCAATACTTTAACGAAGTGAAATCTCGTGCTGTTGGGTGTAAAAATTCCAATTTCCTACCAGCCCACCCTGCAGGGACCTGTTTTGTGCTTTTGCATCGCTGCCAGTGCAGTGTCACCAGGTTGACATTAAATCCAGACTTGAATGTCTTAACAAGAGAGTCCGGTGCCGTACTCCCCTGACTCCCCTCGTCTGAACGTTGATGAACGCTCGGTAGGTTCCCTTCAATAAAATAGGACCCAGCGTGCGAGCGAGTAAGACGCACTTCTGTTGAACTTTCCCCCCTCCAATGTTGTCCAGATTAGATTGTGCGAACGATGTCATGCCATGAGAGACAGAATCCCCCATTCGGACATTTCAAAGAACGGTGCCCCCCCATCCCCCCCGGCCTCCCCCCATCCCCCCCGGCCCCCATCCCCCACCCCCCGACCCTCATACAGAACTACCACAGGAGTAGTACACCTAACTACCACAGTAGTGCAGAACTACCGCAGTAGTAGTACAGAACTACCACAGTAGTAGTACAGAACTACCACAGTAGTAGTACACCTAACTACCACAGTAGTAGTAGTAGTACAGAACTACCACTAGTACAGAACTACCACAGTAGTAGTATAGAACTACCACAGTAGTAGTACGGAACTTAGTACAGAACTACCACAGTAGTAGTAGTACACAGAACTACCACAGGAGTAGTACACAGAACTACCACAGTAGTAGTACAGAACTACCACAGGAGTAGGACAGAACTACCACAGTAGTAGTACACAGAACTACCACAGTAGTACAGAACTACCACAGTAGTAGTATAGAACTACCACAGTAGTAGTACAGAACTTAGTACAGAACTACCACAGTAGTATAGAACTACCACAGTAGTAGTACAGAACTACCACAGTAGTAGTATAGAACTACCACAGTAGTAGTACAGAACTACCACAGTAGTAGTACACCTAACTACCACAGTAGTGCAGAACTACCGCAGTAGTAGTACAGAACTACCACAGTAGTAGTACAGAACTACCACAGGAGTAGTACACCTAACTACCACAGTAGTAGTAGTAGTACAGAACTACCACAGTACAGAACTACCACAGTAGTAGTATAGAACTACAACAGTAGTAGTACAGAACTTAGTACAGAACTACCGCAGTAGTACACAGAACTACCACAGTAGTAGTACACCTAACTACCACAGGAGTAGTATAGAACTACCACAGTAGTAGTACGGAACTTAGTACAGAACTACCACAGTAGTAGTAGTACACAGAACTACCACAGGAGTAGTACACAGAACTACCACAGTAGTAGTACAGAACTACCACAGGAGTAGGACAGAACTACCACAGTAGTAGTACACAGAACTACCACAGTAGTACAGAACTACCACAGTAGTAGTATAGAACTACCACAGTAGTAGTACAGAACTACCACAGTAGTAGTACACCTAACTACCACAGTAGTACAGAACTGCCGCAGTAGTAGTACAGAACTACCACAGTAGTAGTACAGAACTTCCACAGTAGTAGTACACCTAACTACCACAGTAGTAGTACAGAACTACCACAGTAGTACAGAACTGTCACAGTAGTAGGACAGAACTGCCACAGGAGTAGTACACCTAACTACCACAGTAGTGCAGAACTACCGCAGTAGTAGTACAGAACTACCACAGTAGTAGTACAGAACTACCACAGGAGTAGTACACCTAACTACCACAGTAGTAGTACACCTAACTACCACAGTAGTAGTACAGAACTACCACAGTAATACAGAACTACCACAGTAGTAGTATAGAACTACGACAGTAGTAGTACAGAACTTAGTACAGAACTACCGCAGTAGTAGTACACAGAACTACCACAGTAGTAGTACACCTAACTACCACAGGAGTAGTATAGAACTACCACAGTAGTAGTACACAGAACTACCACAGTAGTAGTACAGAACTACCACAGTAGTATTACAGAACGACCACAGTAGTAGTACAGAACTACCACAGTAGTAGTACAGAACCACCACAGTAGTAGTAGTACAGAGCTAACACAGGAGTAATACACCTAACTACCACAGGAGTACAGAACTACCACAAGAGTAGTACACCTAACTACCACAGTAGTAGTATAGAACTACCACAGTGGTAGTACAGAACTTAGTACAGAACTACCACAGTAGTAGTACACAGATATCTACCAAAGGAGTAGTACACAAAACTACCACAGTAGTAGTACACAGAACTACCACAGTAGTAGTACAGAACTACCACAGTAGTAGTATAGAACTACCACAGTGGTAGTACAGAACTTAGTACAGAACTACCACAGTAGTAGTACACAGAACTACCACAGGAGTAGTACACAGAACTACCACAGTAGTAGTACAGAACTACCACAGTAGTAGTACACAGAACTACCACAGGAGTAGTACACAGAACTACCACAGTAGTACAGAACTACCACAGTATAGTACAGAACTACCATAGGAGGAGTACACCTAACTACCACAGTAGTAGTACACCTAACTACCACAGTAGTAGTACACAGAACTACCACAGTAGTAGTACACCTAACTACCACAGGAGTAGTACAGAACTACCACAGTAGTAGGACAGAACTACCACAGTAGTACAGAACTACCACAGTAGTACAGAACTACCACAGTAGTAGTACACAGAACTACGACAGTAGTAGTATAGAACTACCACAGTAGTAGTACAGAATTGTCACAGTAGTACAGAACTACCACAGTAGTAGTACAGAACTACCACAGTAGTAGTACAGAACTACCACAGTAGTAGTACACCTAACTACCACAGTAGTGGTACAGAACTACCACAGTAGTATACAGAACTACCACAGTAGTAGTACAGAACTACCACAGTAGTAGTACACAGAACTACCACAGTAGTATATAACTACCACAGTGGTAGTACATAACTTAGTACAGAACTACCACAGTAGTAGTACACCTAACTACCACAGTAGTACAGAACTACCACAGTAGTAGTACAGAATTACCACAGTAGTAGTACAGAACTACCACAGTAGTAGTACACCTAACTACCACAGTAGTAGTACACCTAACTGCCACAGTAGTAGTACAGAACTACCACAGTAGTAGTAGAGAACTACCACAGTAGTACAGAACTACCACAGTACTTTTAAGTCAATTTACCACTTATCTACGCTAGAGGGCAGTACTTTCCGTCCCACCATTCTGCAGAAGAAGAAAACATGGACAATGAATTTACCCTGAACATTTTTTCCCCATGCATATTAATTTATGTTTTAAATCAACCTTGCTTGAAAAAATATTCCGTTTTAGAGAATTGAATGGGGGTCACAAGACATCGGGAACCACCCTGTACTTCGACTCCGTTGGCAATGGTACAGAATTAAAAATGTCATCACCATTGTCATTCTTCTGGTGAATGGCAAGTAGGTGTAATTATACGTTCCAGGTTTAAGTTTGTGAGCCACGTGACGATAGTTTCTGGAGTAGCGCAACTAAATGCTGCCCGGCCCGCCGGAGAGCGGGCGTAGAACTTAGTTGTTGGCGACGTTGGTGGTCCGTTGCGTGGTTCGGGTGGCCGCAGTCCCTGCACCGTGGGGTCATCTTTCGCGTCCCGCGTGTTTAAGAAGAGGTAGCGAGCAGCGGCAGCAGCGGCAGGCGGCGAGCGGTCACCGTTGTGAAGCGGTTGATGATGAAGCCGCCACGGATTATTTGGCAGAACGGAGCCCTGCGGGGCTGTGGTGGCGCCCCCAGTGAGGTCGACTCAGCCTTGAAATGTAACATCAGCACTGGGGAGATAAATGCAACCAGGCGTGGTGCTGTCCACCCAACCCCCCTCGCGTGCCGTGCCGGCCTTCATGCGGTGCTCGCCAACAGCACTTGCCCCAACAGTCTTTTTTAAAGGCCATACGGGGGGGATCTTTTTCTTCGTGTTGATGTTTCCGTGGGGTGCGTGTCGGTGCGTGTGCGCGTGTGCCCCGCGCGCCGGCTGCAGGCTGAGCTGGGCCTGAGCGAGCACCACCAGAACGAGGTGATCCAGTACATGCGCTTCGCCCGCTCCAAGCGCCTGCTGCGCCTGAAGACGGTCGACTCGTGCGTGCAGGACCTTAAGGAGAGCCGGTAGGCTGCACGGTGCACCACCTCCTCGGCCACCCTCGCTCTGCTATCCCTCGCTCAACTTCCCATGCGCATTCACCGTCAACTCAGTTATGCTCACTTAGCCACCCTGCCTCAGCCACCTTCACTTAGCTACCCTCCCTCGGCTACCCTTAATCAGCTTCCCTCTCTTCCAGCCACCAATGACAGTGAGAGCAGAGACGTGAAAGCAGACGGTGGTGGAGGTCAAGATGAATGAGGTGGCGGTGACGATAGTCAACGTCAATGCAGAGGGCAGTGATGACGGTGATGCTGACGATATGTTATGGGTGGACAATGATGATGTCCGTAATGCTTATCCTGGGTTTGTTTTTTGCGTGTGGGGAGTGGTAGCGTAGTAGTTCGTGTACTGCGCTACTATGCACCCAGCCCCCTGGGTTTGATGCCTGGCCACGCCTAACAGTGCCGAGTGATAGCCGAATCGGTCGTGGGCCTCTCCTAGATCGACTCGGCCTTAAATGAGTAGCTAGTATGGTGCGTAAACGTCAGAAAAAATGTGGCCACACCACCACCCTCTTAATAGGTGCTCGCTAACAGCGCTTGCCCCAAGAGTCCGCACGGCTACGGCCGGGGAGCAGGCGGGGAATCTTCGTCTTCTGCGTGCGCGCGCACACGCAGGCTGGTGGACGACACGTTCACGGCGGAGGAGGTGGCGGACATGCTGGAGGGGCTGCGCGTGGTGGTGCGCGGGGAGCTCGAGTCGGAGCTCATCCACACTGCGCACACCAACGTGCTGCTGCTGCGCCAGCTCTTCAGCCAGGCCGAGCACTGGCACCTCAAGCTGCAGGCCGACGTCTCCGAGCTTGAGAACCGGTCTCTGCCCGCCCCCTTATCACCTGTCCAGCCTCGCCTACTCGCCCCTGCCGTCTCACTGCCTACCGACTGCAATGTCTTTGAACTGCTGCTCCCTTATCACCCGCCCGCCCTCGCCCAGTTGCCCACTCGCCCCTGCTGTCTCACTGCCCACCCGACGGGTCTCGGGGCGTGGTCGTTCTTGTAAAAGAGTCGCGTAGCTCAGTGGGGGCCTCACCACTGAAAACTGAGTCTGAATTATATGGCCTGACCCTGCCACGTGTTTTCGGGTCATTGCCGCGTGTTGATCGGCATGACGTCCTTCGACGCTTCGCTCCTGTATGCTGGCAGCTTCTTGCTTATAACCGAGTTCACTTCCCGAAGAAGTTTCCAGCAGATGGAGCAAAGCGTCGGGATAATGGTGCCGAATAACGCGCGGTGCAACCGGAGAGCTACGCAGCACAGCCGCGAAAAACCCACGCAGACGTTGACTTAAATACATACCTACCTGCTTGCCTACCCACCTACAAGTGGCATAGCATGGATGGTATGCGCCGTGGTGCAAGAAATGATACGGTGCCCCCCTCTTCCCTTCCAATGCATCAAATAATCGATAAAAATCAACACTCAAGCTCACGAGTAGGTATCATTTTTTGATGCCTCTTACGTTGTATGTAAAGGGCTCACGTGACCTCCAGCCACAAGTGACTGCCTCATTCACGATGGTGTTAAAAGAAAATTTGATGCTCGAGTTGAATTGAATATGGAGCATTAATTGAATCGCGAGGCGAATCCTAACATCCCTAATTGTCGAAGTGTTGACTGAAAATTGTGGACCGTCTCCCCCACCATGTGATGTTCTGACATTGCCTGTGTTTGCTCTTTTTTCTTCTGCTTAACAGAGAGCTGCTGGAGCAGATAGCCGAGCTGGAGAAATCTGAGTTCATTGCAGCCGGAAAAAAGGTACGAGCATTCTGGAGGCTCTTGAAGTCCTACTTCTAATACATTACTAACTGCTCCGACTTAACTTGGACTCTCTGTAAAGCCAGGGCCACCTCTGAGCAATGATGTTGTGCAGCTCGGTTGCATGCAACTGCATTACATGTACTTGGACGTCTCTGCAACTAGTTGCGCAACCGGTTTCTTGCAGTGGAGACCTACTCGACTTTTGACACACTTCACTCATCATGCGCCACATTTGTGTGAACTACGGTTGGCTGTTACGATTGTTGGTTGCGCGATGCAATTTCCCTATTGCGCGACTACTCACCCATGTGTGTGGACAAAGCAGTTGATCACGTCGCGTGATTTCGAGACGAGCCATTTGGGCGTTGCGTAACTGATTGCTCAGGTGTGGACGAAAAATGAAAGAGCTATATAGAGGGTATCCATTACATGTTTCTGTGGTCAAATAAAGGACATTGCTTTATTGAAAGAATGGAAATGAATGCACTCAATTGTAAGTTTGGGAGATCATTGTATACAGCAGAGATTACCAAACACCAGTATCATTTGTGACCCTTCCCGGTGCGTTTCTCGCGCGTTTAGTAGTCTTGTACGTCCATGCTGCAAGTGAAACTGTTGCACGCTCGCCGCGCGCCTGCTGATTGTCGTTGCAGCCCAGCACGGAGGTCAGCAAGGCCAAGCTGGCCCCCCTGAGCGACGTCGGCGCGACCGAGCTGCTGAACAAGGTGCGTGCTGCTGTTGCTGCAGCCCTCTCTCTGGTAGCCCGCGGCCCCTAAAGCCCAGATGTGGGCAACCTACCCTGGCTCGGGAGCCGCTACCTTCGACGGCCCGAGCCGTCGATGCGACGGACCTCGCCGACGACTTTTCAAAAATGACGATTCCCCCGTGGCGCTCCTCGTATCCGGCCGCAGTAGTCGCTCACGCACGCGGCATCTGGCGCCCCGCCTTCTGTCGCGACCGGTTCACGTGGGCCTATCATGTGGCTGCTGCTTCCCAGGTTTGGTGGCGGTTGGGGGTGGGGGGTACTTCAACACCCCGACGTTTGCATTCAGGGAAATCCTGGAATCGTTGGCACCATCCACCGTGGCCGCACCCCCCCCCCCATCTCCGTCTTTCAACCAACCGACAAAGGGAGAGCCTGGGACGTGTCTGTGTGCGTTGATGCAGGAGATTCAGCGGCTAAGAGAGGAGAATGAAAAGCTGAAGGTGCGCATCAAGATGGTGGAGACGCAGGTGAGAGGGCCCTTGAGGCTCCGATGGGGGGGGGGGCGGTGGGGAGCGTGGGTTTAACGCATCGTGCAGCCAGCTACCCCTCACATTTTGTTTTTGTTGGGGGGGGCAGTGGGGAGCGTGGGGTAGGCGTTTGGGGGGCAGTGATGTAGCTGAGCGGTGGCGCGTTCGCCGCTTGTTCCGGAGTTTTGCGGTCCAATCGAGAGGAATAATAATTTGCTCGCGCGCAAATGACATTTTGCAAGATGGACAAATTAACGTGCGGCCAGTCGGTACGTGGTGACAAGACGGCATCACCGTGTCACCTTCACAAATAAAACTAAACTTTTTATGTTACCAGGTAAGGCCCACTGAGCTATGTAGCTCTTTTTTTCCGAAGCGATCTGGCTATCACAAATGGTAGCTCAACGAAGTGGCTTATCATCATCGCGTGGAAATGCATATCAGCCAAATAATTCGAAACACACATTCATTCTCAACGCGGAGGCGAAACGCCAGAGGACCCGGAGAAAAATCCACGCGACCACGCAAACGGTAGAACTGGATTATCTGCCCGAGCCACCGCGCCCGCTGCTTGTGTGTTTGACCGCTTCCCCTTTGCGCCAGGCGACCAGCGCTCTCGAGGAGAGGTCTCGTCTGGAGAGAAGCCTCAAGGAGGCGTCCCTGCACCCACCTGCAGATCAGGTGACCTCCGCACTGATGGGGCCGAGCTATTGTGGCCAACCGTTATCCCCGACTCACCGGTGTTGCGTCGAATACATAATTGGCAACAGACACACACACACACACACGCGCGCGCACGCGCGTGCGTGAGGCAGACGCAACTATGCGACGCGCTTGCAGGATACGTTTTATGTCCGGAAGTGTGTTCTCTTGCTGCACGCCGCAGTGTCATCGGCTCTCGACTTGCATTCTGCTTGACGTTTTGGCGTGCATTTGACATGTGTCAGCGTGGGGAGCGGTGGCGTAGCGGTTGGCACGCTACACTACAAACCTGGCGAGCCGAATTCGATTCGGGGAATGTTTTGTGTGCGTGCGTGCGTGCGTGCGTGCGAGAGCAGCGGTCGCCCCCGGCGACGGACCTGAGCGCGCTGGAGCAGCAGGTGTCGGCGCTGCGTGCGGACCTGCAGCGCGAGCAGAGCGCCGGCGCGACCGGAGCTGCGGCCCTGCAGGAGGGCCTCGCCGCCAGCCAGCACGAGCTTCTGCGCATCAAGCAGCAGCTCGAGGTGGCCGAGAAGGTGAGGAGGGAGGGGGGAGGAGGAGATGAAAGGTGAAGAAGCTAGTGGAAGAGAGGAAGAAGGTGGATCTGGTTGAGCAAGTGGGGAGGATCGAGGTGCTGGAAATATAGAGGAGGAGGAGCAGGAGGAAGAGGAGGACGGAATGGGTGTATGACGGGGAGGATGAGCGATTAAATGCATGGATGAATGTCTAAATGGGCTTTTGAGTGACTGACGTAATTACTCGATTGGTGGATATGTGACTTTGATGGGCAGATTTACTGACTGGGTGGGTGGACGCTTGCCCGGATGAACGTCTGAACTACCGAACGGCACAGGCGAACGAAAGCGTTGACGCAATAATTAATTAACTAAACTATTTTTATTGTACCAGGTAAGGCCCACTGAGCTGTATCGCTCTTTCAGAAGCGACCTGGCTATCACAAATGATAGCTCAACGAAATGCCTTATCACGTGGAGGTTTATAGCTGTAGGAAAATACTCTAAAAACACATTGATTTTAAATAAAACCAGGGGACCCAGATAAAAAATCCACGCCACCGCGGGGAGAGAGACACGCAAAACTCCAAATGTACAACATTCGTCAAGCGTTGGGATCGAACCCACGACCCCCTGCATACCAGGCGAGGTGGTTAACATCTCCCAGCCACCGTTGGCGCCCTACCTACCGCGTCACGACCCACGTTGTTGGTGGTTGCGCTTGCAGGAGCTGGACAGCAAGTTCCAGGACACGGTGGCCTACCGCAATCTCAAGGACATGCTCGCGCGCAAGAACGACTCCATCAAGGACCTGCGCAAGCGGCTGTCGCGGTGAGGAGACGCACGGACCAACCGCACGGCCGCTTTATCGATCGCAGAGCTTCGCGGTTTTAGAATCCAGCGGCCGCCCCCCCCGGTTATCGCTGCGAGTGGGTGTCATGGTAACCGCGCGTCGTCGGCCGTCCGCTTCTCAGTCGATGCTCAAGAATCCGCGATGCAAATTCGCGAGAGTTGGGCCATTGTGTGCCGGCGTCACGGTCCGTTTTGCCAAATTATAAAATGAATAACGATGACATAACGCGCCAAATGTTGCAGCCAAGTCAACAACTCAGAGGCACGGGAGCCAGGCTCAGGGTGCTGCTCGAAAGGCTGACCAGTCAGATAGAGGCCTTTAGATTAGAGAGTTCCACACCGGGGGGCGATAGCAGAGAACCAACGTGAGGCTGTGAAAGTTTGAGACCTTCGTGTCCGAAGCGGAAATTAGACCGCCAGTTATTCAATTGAGATCAATCCTAGGTGGCAACCATCGTCCGCTACTGGCAGACTCTGATGCTCCCGGAAACTCATGCAAATTAGACTTAGTCCTGCTTTCTTGAGGGTCCCACCAATGTTAAACAAAATAAACTTAAAGCTTACAATGCAGAGTGTGCACCGATTGAAAAACCTACCTTTCGGCGGTGGCCTATTGGGCCCGCTGCTCTTCACAGAATCTTGGGCGACAGCCACATCTGTTGTCTGTGTGTGTGCGTGCAGGTACGAGCCCGAGGACTAGCGCGGTGAAAAATATGGGGGGGGGGGGGGGGGGCCCTGGCTCTGTGTGGGACCCCCCCCCCCCCGCAACTCCCCAGCCCCCCACTGCCTCACTGCCCACGTTGAAGGGGCCGCAGTAACGACGCCCTCGCCGCACACGTCGATCCGACCCTCCCTCGCTCTTCCTCCTCACCCCCCCCGCCACCGGCACCACCGCCTCCACAGCGCGGCGAGACCGCTTAAGCCGCGCGGCGCTGGAAATCGGGCATCACGGCGCTTCAGAGCAGGCGTGGGCAACCTACAGCCCACGGGGGAGGGATGTTACCCACAACTTCGTTTTAGAAATAACAGCACCACGCTGCAGAGGTGTGTGCTGCTACTCCCGCCGCTGTTGCTACTGCTGCTCACAAACAGCAGGGGTTAGCACTCCGCGCTACGAACACGGCGACCCGAGTTCGATTCCCGCTCACGGCCCGCCAACAGTGACGATGATCTGAACCGGTTCTGGGGCTACCCTACGTCGACTCGGCCTCGAATGAGTACCTGGTGCCGGTGTGTAAACATCGCCACTGGGGAGGCAAAGGCGGTCGGGCGCGGCCCCCGGCCGCCCATCCCCCTCGTGTGCCGTGCTGTGCCCGGGCCTTCATAGTTGCCCGCTAGCGGTACTTGCCCCTACAGTCTTGTCAGGGTTACACGGGGGATCTTTGTCTTTGTGCACACACGCGCACGTGTGTTATTAATGTACCCACCGCCCAAGGTTATTTCAATGAGCCCTAATTTGGCCCCCGGTAGGGGAAGACGTCTCCCCACCGCTGCTGCGGGAGGGAGACGACGTCGCTCAAAGGAAAAACAACAACAACAGAGGCCGCTTTTATTTCGGTTACCGGAGCAACGTAAATGCACAGAAGTTGTTAGTTCTGCCCCTTCAAATAGAAAACTGCTGATTCACATCTGAAATTTGTGGCTTCTCGGCTCGCGGAGCGGGGGCGGGGGGGGTTAGTGGGGGGGGGGGTGGGCGCCGGGATTTGAGTGGCGGCACCGCAGGGTTCAGAGTTTCCTGCCGGCGCGCACACGCGACATCTGTTGAAGTGTGGCCGACTCCCAGCACGCGCAGCTCCGAATCTGCCCACTTCACGTTAAACGGGCGGCTGCACGTTTAACGCAAAGTGGGCAGAGAGGGGCGCACGGGAAGGTTCCAGAAAGCTACACGCGTGGCCTTGTCGGGTGGTGGAGGGGTTATGGTTAAAGACTAGAAAAAGAGAATCACATTATACACCACGTGATGATCTCGCCCAAAAGAAACGTAATTCCGCCTCAAACCTACGTTTAGCCTTTTCGTGCTAAATTCGGTGAAAATCAACCGTGTAAGTCATCGTGTCCGCTGCCTGGAGTGACGACCCACATTCAAATTTCAAATGCGGGAATGCCGCGTCAGGTGCAGGATGGACATCGCCCCAACCACCACCACCAACCACCACCACCACCCTCCCGCCGCGCCGCACCACGTGACCGCAACATTTTCCCCAATTGCAATTTGCACCGTCGGCATCGCGTGATGAGACGAGGTATCCGTTCGCAACTCCTTCGGAGCACTCGCACGTGCAGTCGCAACCAACCCAGTGTGTACGCGCGTTGTTGTTGTGGGGAGCTGTGGCGTAGCGGTTAGCGCGCTGCGCTACGAACCCAGCTACCCGGGTTCGATTCCCGCTCACAGCCAACACCGAGTGACGATTATTTGCACTGGTCCTGGGCCTCCCCTAGGTCGACTCAGCCGCAAATTAGTTTCTGGGGCGATGTGTAAACATCGCCACTCGGGAAGACAAAGGCAGCCGGGCGTGGTGTTGGCCACTTACCCGCTCGTGTGCCGTGCCGGCCTTCATAGGTGCTCGCTAACAGCACTTGCCCCAATATTCTGTTAAGGCTACACGGAGGATCTTTGTTGTTCAGAGGACGGCCCAAGGAGGAGCTGCTGCTGCTGTGTCTGAAGTTCATACACATTGATCTCTTTAACCAACCCAACTACGAAGGGCAGTCAGAATGAGAGTTGTACCTCTCGGAGTTGGAATTGGAATACAGATTGAGTAGGCGCGACACGTTTTAATGCAAAACTACACCAACTCTTTCTCCTGAAGCCCCCCCCCCCCCCCGGCGTAGCGAGCAGACATTGGCAACTGGCTTCTGAACACACTGCCATCTGATACGTAAGAACAGGATGGATTTTCTTTAAAAAAAAAAATCTGCCATTGAAAAGGAGCTCCCGGCTCAATGGACCTCACCCCAAATAACACTTCGCCGATTGGTGACCGGGCCGAGGCTATAAAAAAAACGCGTTTCTTCACGCGTAGCCGAGACCTGGATTCGGTCCCAGGCCAGTGGTCTTGACGCCTGGGTCACACACGGCCACCCCCTTCCGCAGCTGTGGTCATCGCCGGCCAAAGTTTCAGCTCTGGCGCATTTTGTTGCCCTGTGGCGAGCGTTGCTCCTCCACACGTCTGTCCGGGGTCTGCTGTTGATTCATAATACCTCGGGGGGGGGGGGGGGTTGAGTGGTCCATTTTGGAGGTTTCGTGAAATCGCTATCGCATAACAGCGTCTCTGGGAACACGGGTGATTAAACGTGATATGGAGGTGACACCAGTGTGTGTGATGTCTATGTGAGTGTGCGGTGGTGTCGGGGTTAGCGCGCTGCGCCATGAATCCGGCGGCCCGAGTTCGATTTCCCGCTCACGGTCAACACCGGTGGCGATTATCTGAAGCGGTCCTGGGCCTCCCCTAGGTCGACTCAGCCTCATGAGTACCTGGTGCGGTGTGTAGTAAACATCGCCACTCGGGAGACAAAGGCGGCCGGGCGTGGTGCTGGCCACCCACCCCCTCGTGTGCCGTTTCGCTAACAGCACTTGCCTCAACAGTCTGTTAAGACTATACGGGGTGGGGGGGGGGGTCTGTATTTGTGTGAGAAAGCTGTGTATGAACTGTATTTTTATTGTTTTAACACACAGGCCCAGGAGGCCCAAACGTCACGCAGCCAGCAACCAACAGCACTCCCCAAGTTGTGTTTACGTGATTCTTAATATGCGGCAGTTATTTGAATGAACGAGGGCTATTCAAATGAGCAGTAACCGTGTGTGTATGTATGTTGAACGTATTTCGCACCGTACGTAGCAGAATCAGCATATTTATACTGGAGGAATCCGATGAGCTATAATGTTATTTTTCACAGACGTCCAGTAGGGGCGGGTAAGAACGTCACAACAACAAACAGTTACAAAAACACGACAGTAGTGCAAAGTAAAATCAAGGTAAACAAATCACGCAAGCGCAAACAAATACAACACAACCATCCCCATCCTACCAGGCAATGCCCACTGAGGTATCAACTCATTTTTCAGAAGCGACCTGGCCACAAATAACAAAAAGGTGGCCCATCGTTTGGACATTTATAGCAGCAAAATCATCTCGATAATCTCAATGCATGTTTCTAAATGTGGAGGGAAAACCCGGGAGGTCCCGGAGGGAAAAAATAAAATCCACGTGAATGAGCCAACAGCGCTTTCCGTGGTAGGAGCCGTCGGCTGGCGGAGGGTTCGTTAAGAGTTAAAATTAAAACCCAGTTGGCACGATACCTGTCACGTGGCACCAATAAGTGTGGGTGGGACCCACCTGTAATCGGGATAGCGGTATCTTCTTTGGTTCTTTCGGTAAAGTCACGTAGAATGACAATAAAATAATAAATTGATCAAATAAAATAACAATAAAATTCTCACGACGTTTCGGCCACAACACAAGCGGCCTTCATCAGGTGAAGGGACGAGACTGTTATTTTATTTTATCAATTTATGTTGTTATTCTCATTCTACGTGACTTTAACCGAAAGAACCAAAGAAGATGAATCCTTGCAGTCACGAAAGCTTTCAATCGAAAAGGGATAGCGGTAGTTGAACATGAGAGACACCTGCAGCGAGCAAGATGTCAATGACCATGAGTGCGGCCGGCTTCCTATAAATAGGGACGCCCACCCCCCCACCCCCCGCAACACCACCAGATAGCGGAGGGTGGATGGAGGAAGACCCCAGCAATATTTGCTCGCGAGCTGCAGCCGGCAGGGAACAGGAGCGGTGGTAGTTGCCGTCTAGATGGTGGAGGGTTAGAGTTGGCATGATACCTACGCAATGATCTAAACCCAAAAACTATTTTAATTATTATCAATCAACAAATTTCGCTCAAGGACGCGGACACGTGTTAAAAAAAAATGTTGTCGTGACCGTGGCAGGAGCGCTGCGGCAGTAACCGGCCACCGGTTCGGATAGTTTCAGCGATGTGGAACCCTACCCCCCCCCACCCCAGCCTCGTCGATCTGTAGCCGTGAGACATCTGCTGCACCCTCGGTGCTCGCGGGCACCGCACGTGCATCACAACTCGAGCTACGGGAGGGAGGGGAGGGGGGCGCGCGGTGTGAGTCCTTCCCTTTATTTTTTAAAGACGGTCAACCAACCTGTCAGCAATTTTGACGCACACGCGCGCTGCCCACGCGCTCTGCCCACGCGTCTTACGGGGGGGGGGCGGGGTTGGGGATCAATGGAACACACGGACTGCCACCTCATCTTTTGTGCAGCATTTACGATGTCAACGTGTAAGACGTGCACGGAGGAGATGGTGCAATGAAATCCGCCCGCGTGTGCAGACGCCGGGTGGCTTTGCAGCAGCAGCAGCAGCATCCTCTACTTAACCGCTCGTTGGGACACGTGCGGTCATTTTCACTTTTGCAAGGTCGACCCGGGTCATTGGTTGGTTCGTAACAGCTTGGCGGCGGCTGTCACGAAGGGCTTCGTCCAGCAGTGGATTGACCATGGCTGCTGCTGATGACGATCAGAGGAAACCAATATCAAGAACACGTTCGTCTGACTTTGACATAGCGTGCGTTAAACGCGCCTTGCGAGCAAGGCGTGGCGAGATTTACGGAGCTGCCTCTTACAGTTGCGAGGCCCTCCCTTCCCGCTCAGCAGTGGCGTGAGCGGGCACTTTGAAGGGCGAAGGGCTGCGCCTTTGACCTCTTTAGATTGGCCGCGAGCGGCTGGCGGGAGCCGTGTGGCCACGGGGGGGGTGGGGGAGGAAACGGAGGCCGTCTCTGGGTGGAGCGATTCTAGCTCTGGTAGGGAGGTCCTGGGCCACGGGAAACCGCGTGCATCGCCATGTTACAGATTCCGCACGTGCGCGTGACTCACGCAGCGCCCGCGCGGGGGACCCCCCCCCAACCGAACGCCCCTCGCCTCCTCCGGTCCGCAGTCTATACACAGCCGACCTCCAACGCCCTCGTCTTACAATCATCATCGTCATCATCATCATCGTGGTCAATCCATCCGGTATATAATTAAATAATCCATCCATCTACATCAGCCGAATGTACCGACTCCTCCATACACACCCCTCCTCCGCTCCTCTTACAATCCATCATCATCGTCACCATCATCTTCAATCCGCCGTATTGTTCAATCCATTCTCAG